GTGGGAATAAAACACCCCGTCAAACGGCCACTCCTGCCAAGTGAAGCGCGGGAGGGAATAACGCGGTGGTAACGCGCGCAGCGAACGCAGGGCACTGGGCGAACGCGGCAGCTTTGGGTTTTTTTTTCCCGGATTTGGGACTGAGGCCGGGATTTCCAGAGCGCGCGGGGCTGGGAAAGCCGCTGAGCTCGCGTGCCGGGTGCCCGCTGGGGAACACCGGGCAGAAACGCAGCAAGCCCGGAGCGGATCAGACAACATCGTTGAAAACTCCGTGGTCTGCAGGATCCTGGGGGCCCCTGAGCAGCAGCAGATCACGTAGTGCCCATTTTCCTTGAGAAGTTGCCTTAATTCCTTATTTATTACCAGCAGTACCTATAAGCAGCTCTGATTTATCTTCTGGGTGCCGTGCAGCAACCAGGCTCATCCCTAAATCTTTGGCCAAGATTTTATTTTCCTCAAACCAAAACACTTTTCTGTCCCGTGGAATGAACGCAGAACATGAAGGGGTTGTTCAGCAACTTGTGTTTCCAACATCATTATTTATTAACATTTTCCACTTCCCTCATTCCTTCTGGCTTCGGGTTACACAAGGCTTAAGCAGTGCACAGCACAGGGCTGCTCTTGCCTTCGCTGGGTGGGGAGGATTTCAACTGAAGCGATGCCTTTTATTGTGCTACACATTATCCATTTATTTTCAGATTTTTGCAGCTTGCAAGCTCCAGCTCTTGCAGTTTCAGGGAGGCCTTAGGAGACTTCCAAGGGTGTGAGCTCCGATACTGTGGAAAGAAGGGTGAGATCTTCAGCTGCAGCTGAGAAATTAGTAGCCACGGAGGTGCTCTCCAATTCCTGGGGCAAGTCCTAAAGCAGAGCAGCTCCGAAACCCTTGTGACTTGCCTTGGTCCAAAAGGGGCCAAGGGGAGCAATCACTGGCAGAAAGGGATCAGCAAAGGCAGGGTTGTAGAGCGTGACTGATTCAGCATCTTTGCCAAAATCTAGAGGAATGGGCATATCCTGATTTAATTCAATCTTACTGAGCTTAACCATGAAAGCAGGGACAAAACTAGTTACGCTAAGTGCCCAATACTCACTTTGAGGGTCAACAGCTGAACGAACAACTCTCACATTGCTCCAGATCCATTCTCATGGTTATAAATGAAATGATTCATCATTTTATGTACCCTGTCAAATCCCTGCTCTTCTCCAAGTAGAAGACAGAGCCATGCGATGAATAGGCAGATGCTTTTTTATTATGCAAAGACATATTACTAGGTGTGATAAGGTCTATTGCTGCCTCTCATGCAGAAGGAAGGCTGGGGAAGGCAGGTTTGCCTGTATCCGAGCACGCTCTCAGCTCAGACCTCCTGGAAACAGCTTGGAGTGGGAGACCAAGAGCTGCTCAAAGCAGGGAGTCCCCAGGGCAGCCCAACCCCGGTGCAGGAGCAGCTGGTCCCACCAAGGACACCCTGGCCCTCCGAAATTACCTCCTTGGGCTCTGTGGTTGGTCTTGCTGTTCTCTGCTGACAGTGAATAGGAAAACACCAAAAAAACAAAACCCACAATATTTGATTCCTTTTCTGGATTTTTTTTTCTCTTCTGGACTTTAACTCTGGAATAAAGAGGAGCTTTGTTGGTGCTTGGTCCTACTGGTCCAAGTAGAAAGATGATCTGTACTTTATTTATATTGTTCCCCGTTCAGCTCTAAAGCTACCCCAACTCTTGCTCATCCTTCAGCACCTCTTCATCAGCGTGACTAAGGACAGGTTGTTCACCAATAAAGAAATGACCTTTGCTAGAAACAGCTATCATTATAAATCTCCATTTCCTTGTGCTTCTGTATACGAGCCTGCAGAAATGTCACCGAGGAAATGGCCTGATTGGATTATGTCAGATTTGCAACAGCATTTAGCTTTTTAAGGCGATGGGCTGTGCCCATGAGGTTACCTTTTGCTGCTGCTTTTCACATTTTCCTGTATTTCTAGTTCCCATCAAATTCTGACCCCGTGTTAGCAGCAGGAGCAGAGCGTTTGCACTGACTGCAGTAGGCGGGGGCGAAGTCCCACCTGCCTGTCTCCCATACATCTCCCTAGCTCATGTGTAAGGCCCTGTACCATATAGGTTCTGCCTGCAGACTTCCTTTGGTAACGAGGAACGCGCTCCAAGCTCTGCAGCAACAGCAGCAGCTGAGAAAAGGTGATTCCCACGTTGCATAATTCCATAGCCCAGTTAACTCTCCTGGTCTGCAGGGAAAGCTTACGACCTCGGCCATACCCCCGTTCCTCCTGAGTTATTCTTAGTATCTTCCCCATTATTCCTAGCAGCACTAAAAGAAACTCTCCGTGCTGGAGTTCATGCACATCAGTGCGCGGCGTCTGCAGGGCAACGGCTGACACGGAGTCTGACCCACGACAGGCTGCCGGCCTCCCTCACCTGCCTTCCCTTTATCTCGGCCCTCTTGGCTGGCCGAAATTCCTCCTCGCCGTCCTTATCGGCCGCCGAGGTCAAGGACAGCAGTCACATTCCCGCGGAAGCGGGAATTCGGGACGCAGGGCCGAGAGGGAAGCCGGCGCTGGCGAGCGGGGCACCAGCCACGGGAAAGCTCTGCGCCAGACCTGCTCTCCCTGAGGACTTCGCCCGGGCTCGGGTTTAAGGGCTCTCCTGTTCAGGAGCCTGCAGCATCCAAACGGGTCCTGGCATTCACCTTTCCGTATCCTTAGGAAAACACCAAAAAAACAAAACCCACAATATTTGATTCCTTTTCTGGATTTTTTTTTCTCTTCTGGACTTTAACTCTGGAATAAAGAGGAGCTTTGTTGGTGCTTGGTCCTACTGGTCCAAGTAGAAAGATGATCTGTACTTTATTTATATTGTTCCCCGTTCAGCTCTAAAGCTACCCCAACTCTTGCTCATCCTTCAGCACCTCACCAAAAAAACAAAACCCACAATATTTGATTCCTTTTCTGGATTTTTTTTTCTCTTCTGGACTTTAACTCTGGAATAAAGAGGAGCTTTGTTGGTGCTTGGTCCTACTGGTCCAAGTAGAAAGATGATCTGTACTTTATTTATATTGTTCCCCGTTCAGCTCTAAAGCTACCCCAACTCTTGCTCATCCTTCAGCACCTCTTCATCAGCGTGACTAAGGACAGGTTGTTCACCAATAAAGAAATGACCTTTGCTAGAAACAGCTATCATTATAAATCTTGGTTTCCTTGTGCTTCTGTATACGAGCCTGCAGAAATGTCACCGAGGAAATGGCCTGATTGGATTATGTCAGATTTGCAACAGCATTTAGCTTTTTAAGGCGATGGGCTGTGCCCATGAGGTTACCTTTTGCTGCTGCTTTTCACATTTTCCTGTATTTCTAGTTCCCATCAAATTCTGACCCCGTGTTAGCAGCAGGAGCAGAGCGTTTGCACTGACTGCAGTAGGCGGGGGCGAAGTCCCACCTGCCTGTCTCCCATACATCTCCCTAGCTCATGTGTAAGGCCCTGTACCATATAGGTTCTGCCTGCAGACTTCCTTTGGTAACGAGGAACGCGCTCCAAGCTCTGCAGCAACAGCAGCA